ATCATTTGTCATAGCCGTTATAAACAAATCCAGACTGCAAATAAAACATTCTGCCAGGCCATCTGATACTTGTCGTATTTGTCAGTTACTCGCCCTCTCTCATCAGAGCTCACTACTCCCGCCGGACACGACAGGGTGGGCTGCCGTTTTCACACAGCTGCTTGGCGGGTTCGCCTACCCAACAGATGGCAGGCGTGCGTCGCCTCGTGAAACGTTCATTGTGGGTCACTTTAACAGGCTGCGCTAGAAAACATTTGCGTTCGTGTATTTGTATTTTTGTACATCGATAGGTAGTTACGTTGGTCAGCAGGAATGTAGTCGGGTCATCTAACGTTGCATCAACATAAATCTCTTTATTCTTGTTGTTTTGAATAAAGAACAGATTTGCTTATGCAGTAATGGTGTGGTAAACGGAAACGGATTTTGTACAGCTGTCAAAAGTTACCTCTGTACCTCTCCATCAGCAAACAGCAAAAATTAATGCACCTCGTACGATAAAAAAACTGCACTGAGAAGTTGGAAAGTCTAGCCACTTCTTACCTTCAGCACGCCTGACTGCCGCGCGCACTGGCCGAAGAATCGGTGCATTGTATCAGTTGAAGAAATAATTGTGCTCTGAAATAAGAACTGAAACAAAAACTTTAAAAACTAGGCGTACGACTCCTAAACCTTAAGAAGAGTGTTAGCCAAAGTCAAGTCCATAATTGCTAAAGGTGAGGGAAGTGTTGGAAAATTCATTTAATTGAAGGTAGGGTATGGAATGGAAGTCGTTGAAAGGTCTGTTAATTTCGGCAGAATAAGTCACGGAGGAAAATTTGTGACGCCCGAAAATAGTAACAATGCCTTATATTGTCAAGTAAATCTTGTGTGTTCATTCAGTTGGCACCCCTGACAACTGGCATTTGTTTCTGAACATAAATAATTACTTGTAAACTGTAAAACTTTTCAGTTTCGCCGTTTAAATTGACAAACTTTCGTTTTGCATCCGAAATTATCATCTTGTTATAGATAGTGAGGCTCGTATTAAAGGAGCTGTCCTGTCGGCACCAGATGGCAGCCTGAAAGGTAGACCGTTTGGAGCTACAAAACCCCTGCATGTAGCTAACATTCTCACCCCCCCCCCCCTCCCTCCCAGGATGGAGTTTGAGAGGCACCCGATGACAAAGGCTCTGTTCCTGTTCTGACACTGATTGGTGCGGCGCGTGGTTTTGTCTTTCCTCTACGTATTCCAAGTACGCGAAAATTGATAGCACTTCTCCGAATGTTGAAAGAAAAAGATAAGGCGTTAAGAGTGAAACGTCGTAAAAGCTTACAGTTTTTAGGTCTCGCGGGCAGCCAGCTCCCCGGCACAACTAGGCTGGAATCTTTCTGACATCCTCGTTCGCCCGCACTGGTGACCTTGCCTACCCGCCCCGCCCACGTCATGACTAGACCGGGGAGGGGGGGGGGGGAGTCACCTGGGCTGCATACCTCCTGGGCGGAGTACATACGATAACAGCGTCGACAACTGCGTGGCGCCCAGGGGGTAGGCAACTTATTCTACGCCGTGTAGTCTGGGTGGTGTGTCGTGCAGGCGATCATAAGCTGTCATAAGTACTGGACATCTACCAGCACTATTTACTTCGCATAGCAAAGAAAAAAAAAAGAGTTTGGAGAATCTACAGAAAGCTAAGCTTTGCGTTTGCATTTCATCTGCTTAGTATAGTCATATTGTTGTAAACTGCTCCTTGTAATAAAGTAAGTCT